CAATGATCAACCAATGACCCAGCCATTGACCCGATCAATGATCAACCAATGACCCAGCCATTGACCCAACCAATGATCAACCAATGATCAACCAATGACCCAACCATTGACCCAATCAATGACCCAACCAACACCATCAGCACCCCGAGCTGCCCGACATCTTCTCCTCACCATCACTGGGGACAGCGGGGTCACCAGGGACCGAGCAATGACCCAATCGATCATCAACCATTGACCCAATCAATGACCCAATCGGTGACCCAACCAATGATCAACCAATGACTCAGCGATTGACCCAACCAATGATCAATCATTGACCCAACCAATGACCCAGTCATTGACCCAACCAACACCATCAGCGCCCCGAGCTGCCTGACGCCTTTTCCTCACCATTGCTGGGGACAGTTGGGACAGCGGGGTCACCAGGGACCGAGCAATGACCCAAATGATGACCCAACTGGTCACCCAACCGACATCAAACCAATGTCCCAAAAAATGACCAAGCACTCACCCAATCAATGACCAACCAATGATCAACCAATGTCTCAACCATTGACCCAACCAATGACCCAACCAACACCCAACCAATGACCAACAAGCAACCAACATCTAACCATTGACCAAACAACAGCCAACCAACACCCAACCATGGACCCATCCAATGACCCATCCAATGACCCAACCAATGACCCAACTATTGACCCAACCAATGACCCAACTATTGACCCAACCTACAGCCTACCATTGACCAACCATTGACCAACTGACACCCAACCATTGACCAATCATTGATCAACCAACACCCAACTGTTGACCAACCAATGACTCAACCATTGACCAAACAACACCCAACTATTGACCCAACCACTGACCCAACCACTGACCCATCCAACACCCATCCAATGACCCAGCCATTCACCAATGAACACCCAACCACTGACCCAACCATTGACCAACCATTGACCCAACCACTGACCAACCATTGACAAACCATTGACCCAACCATTGACCAACCATTGACCAAACACTGACCAACCATTGACCCAACCATTGACCAATGACCCAACCATTGACCAACAATTGACCAACCAACACGCAAACACTGACCAACCATTGACCCAACCATTGACCAATGACCCAACCATTGACCAACAATTGACCAACCAACACGCAACCACTGACCAACCATTGACCCAACCATTGACCCAACCACTGACCCAACCATTGACCAACCACTAACCCAACCATTGACCAAACACTGACCAATGAACACCCAACCATTGACCCAACCATTGACCAACCATTGACCAACCATTGACCAACCAACACCCAACCATTGACCAACCATTGAACCAACCTTTGACCCAACCACTGACCAACCATTGACCAACCACTGACCATTGACCAACCATTGACCCAACCATTTACCAACCATTGACCAACCAACACCCAACCATTGACCAACCATTGAACCAACCACTGACCCAACCATTGACCAACCATTGACCAACCAACATCCCACCATTGACCCAACCACTGACCAACCATTGACCCAACCACTGACCAACTATTGACCAACCAACGCCCAACCATTGACCCAACCACTGACCAACCATTGACCAACCAACGCCCAACCATTGACCCAACCAAACCACTGACCAAACATTGACCAAACAACGCCCAACAATTGACCCAACCACTGACCCAACCATTGACCCAACCACTGACCAACTATTGACCAACCATTGACCAACCATTGACCAACCAACACCCAACCATTGACCCAACCAACGCCCATCCAATGACCCAACCACTGACCCATCCAACGTCCCTCACGACGGCTGTGAGGGGCTGCGTGGTGGGGGGGAGGGGAATGACATGGATGAGGACCCCTCCCGCCACCCCCCGAGGACCCCCAGAGCC